GTGTGTGTGTGTGTGTGTGTGTGTGTGTGTGTGTGTGTGTGTGTGTGTGTGTTGGCATGGGGGTGTGTGGCTGTATACCTCCAGGGCAAATCTATGAGGGCACCTGTGGGCAGATGTGTCATTCCTCTCCACTCCTTACCCTGCCCCAAGCTCACCTGTCCGAGGGGAGCTCAAAGCAATGTCCCCTTCTCCTTTCCCCAGGGCTCAGGCCGGTAACAGAACTCTCCAGGCCTGAGTCCCAGAGTCACCTCTCTCCCCGCTGCAGGCCCCAGGAGGCCACCCACCAACATCCTCTCCTTCCTCCTCATGGTCCACCCACCTCTCCTCCAAGCCCCCCTCTCACCCTGGCATTGGGGCCAAGCCGCACACTCCGAAAGCCTCAGCTTGGTCACTGCTGTCCCCTGCAGGTCCCAGAGAGCAACAGGTGAGGCATGACAAAGGCCCCTGGCTCGCAGTGCCCTGAGTCTGTCACGCTGCCTGCAGCCCCATCGGGGAGAGTGACGGCGTCGCCCATCCCCCTGCCCTCCTTGGGTCCCTTCCTCCAGGAAGGCCTCTGGTTCTGTGTCCAAGCCAGAAGGAGCTGATGCAGGGGGGAGGGAGCTGCTCCGTGTTCTGAGCCCCTCTGCAGACAGGCCATGGACCTCCCTCTTGGTGTCCCCCAACCCCAACAGCTTAGCGACCTTTCTATATTTACCTGATACCAACTTATAACACAGCCAGGGAAACTGAGGCCTGCAGGAGTGGTACTCCCCCATGTCCCCATGCTTGAGGCACCCAGCCCAGGATTCAGCCCACCTCCGACCAAGCAACACTGGTTTCCACGCGGCTCCCAGGAGGCAGAGCACAGCGGGCAAACAGAGCCACGTGGAGCCTGCAAGCCTGATGGGGCTGATGCACTCAGCGTGCATCTGTGTCTGCCCTTTCGGCTGAGGGTCTAGAGGGTCAGTCAAATCTGGCATTCATGACCTCAGCTCTTACGATAATGGAATGACTATGGGCCGGGCACGGTGGCTCACGCCTGTAATCCCAGCACTTTTGGAGGCTGAGGCGGGCAGATCACTTGAGGCCAAGAGTTCGAGATCAGCCTGGCAACATGGTGAAACCCCATCTCTACTAAAAATACAAAACTAAGCTGGGTGTGGTGGTGTGTGCCTATAATCCCAGCTACTTGGGATGCTGAGGCAGAGAATTGCTTGAACCCGGCAGGCAGAGGCTACAGTGAGCTGAGATTACACACTGCACTCCAGCCGGGGCGACACAGTGAGATTCCATTTTAAAAAAACAAACAGAATGATAGAAGGACTGTGGTGCCAGCCCACTCCTCCAAAGCCATGCTTGCATCTGGTCTTATTATCATCACCCTGGAAGGCAGCCTAGAGGGCCTGACGTCAGACACGGCGTCTTCAGAAGCCTCTCCCCTTCCAGAAATAACCCTGCCATGCTTTCTACCTTGTCATCAGCAATCCCTCGTCCTGGGGCTCTCTGAAGGCCTCCTCGTGGAAGAGGCCACATGGTGGAGTGGCTGAAGGTCAGGGGCCAGCCCTGCTGCTCCCCAGCTGTGTGGCTTCAGGGTAGACACTACACCTCTCTGAGTTTTCTCAATAAAACAGAGGTGATGCCACCTACCTCAAAGGCACTTATTACTCAAGAACTATTTAGCCGGGCGCGGTGGCTCACATCTATAATCCCAGCCCTTTGGGAGGCTGAGGCAGGCGGATCACAAGGTCAGGAATTCAAGATCAGCCTGACCAACATAGTGAAACCCTGTCTCTATTTAAAAAAAAAAAAAAAAAGAAGTATTTAGTGAGGCCCTACTATGTACTCAGCCAGGGCTCAGGAGACGAAGGCGTCTAGGTAAATGTCTGGGGAAAGTTTCCATGAGTTCTTTTTTTTCCTTTTTTTTTGAGACAGAGTCTCACTCTGCCACCCAGGCTGGAGTGCAATGGTGCAGTCTCGGTTCACTGAAACCTCTGCCTCCTGGGTTCAAGCAATTCTCCTGCCTCAGCCTCCCGAGTAGCTGGGATTACAGGCACGCACCACCACACCCAGCTTATTTTTGTATTTTTTGTATTTCACCACGTTGGCCAGGCTGGTCTTGACCTCCTGACCTTGTGATCTGCCCACCTCGGCCTCCCGAAGTGCTGGGATTATAAGCGGGAGCCACTGCGCCCAGCCTCTATGAGTTCTTTTTAAGGGAATCAGCACACTGCCTGGCACTCAGGAGACACATATAACACAAACGTCCCATTTTCACTGTTATCTGTTCCTCCTTCACAAATCCCTCTGTCAATGTCAATCCGCCCCCATTCCCTGAGTGAGCTGCCTCAGACACGCTGTGTCCCCAGAATTCTATCTCCAGACTGCGCTCTCCCCTGAGATTCAGTTCCATATAGTCATTCAGCAAACATGAGCCGGGTGTGGTGGCTCAGGCCTGTAATCCCAGCACTTTGGGAGGCTGAGGCGGGAGGATCACCGAGGTCCAGAGTTTGAGACCAGGCTGAGCAACATAGCGACACTCCATCTCTACTAAAAAACAAAAACAAACACGTATTTTTCCAGCCCTATTATGCACCAAGCACTTTGAACAAAGCAAACACAAAAGTGAACAAAATAAACACAAATCTTGCACCCGAGAGACTTACACAGGTGCTCCTGGAATCACGATGGAGCTGTGGCCGGATGAACCCATCCTGACTTAAAAGTGCTCTTAGTACCCCCAGGAAAGCCACCATAAAGTCAAAGA